ATGCGACACCTCCTTCCATTCCAGGCAATTTACCGGCCGGTAACCCAAGAGTGGATGTGTTGTTGAATTATTAGTTAGCAAAGGTTAGGTTACTAGTAGAAACTAAGCCGAATACTGTTATCCCTTCAAACTCTCTTCCTCATATCTTATTCTGAAAATGATGGAATACTCTGAGCCATGAATGAGGGGAACTTATCTAGGTTGCTTCGGGGTCTCGGTCGGACAGAACGCGGGAGTGCCTGCTGGCGCGGGAGGTGTTGTATAGAATATTTCATCACATTTTTATGTTAAAAGCAGCGTCGACTCTGCTCAAAACACGTGGCCGAGATTCTACTGAATAGGTATGGTCAGAGTAGAATTTAAATACGCGATTCTGATGACGATTCTGGACACGATTCTGGAATTTATTTATCGTGGGAGAATCACCGTAATCCAGAATCGTCTCGAGAATCGTTGTAGAATCTCCTCCAGAGGCGCTTCTACAACGATTCTGGAGGGCGATTCTGACTGTAATCTAATTAAAAGACGATTCTGAGTGATTCTCACACGATTCTGATGGGAAAAGAATTCCAGAATCGACATCAGAATCGTCGTCAGAATCGGGGCGAGAATCGCGCAGAATCGTCTACTCTGACCGTAGCTAATATAGAAAGGGTGCTAAATTTATAAGCGGCACCTGGGGAGCCATATAGAATAATCCTTAATTAATATCCATACAAAAGGACAGCAGTGAAAAGCAAACGGCGGCTTCTCCAAATAAAAATAAAAAGTAACCATTCAGGTCGCCCATGCCTCTGGTGGGAATCAAACCCACAACTCCTCAAGACCGAACAATAGGGGAGGTCAAACATTGTTTAGCAGACCGATTAATGAGCTGATTCTAGGATGATTCTCGATCAATTATGATTTGTTACCTAAACAAGAATCGGTTTCATGTTTGACCACCCCAATTGCCGCCTTATTCTGTCCTGGATTTTCGATTCGATTCTGGCGCCATTTCAGCATCAAAACCGGACGTGTCACCGATTAATTTCTTGTGCGACTCCGAGTTGCTTCGCCGATTCCGACCGATTCTGGATCTGCATCAATTCTCGACAAGAATCGGCCTCGGAATCAAGAAATAATTGGCTCAGAATCAGCCCGTTAATTGGGCCTCGGAATCGATGTTTGACATCCTCTAATGGGGATATGTATTATTCTGAAGTGAGCCACCGTTGATCCACAGAAGCTTAATTCCTTCGCCGTGAAATAAAGCAGATGTGAGGATTCCGGAGGAAAAGTAATCTGATTAACAAGACATGGAAGGCAAAGGAGCAAGGGTATGAGTTGGATAATACTAAGACAAGTTGAAGTGAACAATTAGTGTAAAGCAAAACCGAGAACTGAAACCAAGATAAACAAACCCAGCAAATGAAGGAGTTAGTGGGAGTCAAAACCACAGCATCTCCACAACTAACCATCAAAGCAAATTCTTGTGAGGAGATGATGTACCACTGATCTGCAGATTCTTGGTCTGCTTCAAGTCTCTAACTACGAGGGATCCGCCGAAGCGCGGGGTGCTCGTGAAGAAGACAGTGGTTTTACCCGAATCATAGCCACTACGATCGAATTACCATACCATGATTATGCACCCCCTCAATGTGGACCTCAGTTTTAGGTCTCCTTTGGCCATGATTTCGGTATCAGTCAAACCACCTCAGAAAACACTATCATTTGAGGCTATTTCCATCGCAAAAAAAAATAGAATTGAACGTTTTTGAAGGCATTCTTTCCTTCAAAAACTGTGGCTGACGCCGAGTCCATGTTTACGGTTGTTAGCTGCATATTCCAGCCCTGTGCCTCGTCACATGCGTTTTAGGGTAGATTGCTTCGCTTCGCTCGCAATTAGGAGAGCACTACTAGGGATCCGTCGAAGCGCAGGGTGCTCGCGAAGAAGACAGCGGTTTTTTACCCGAATCATAGCCACTACAATCAAATTACCATACCATGATTATGCACCCCCTCAATGTGGACCTCAATTTTAGGTCTCCTTTGGCCATGATTTTGGTATCAGTCAAACCACTCAGAAAACACTATCATTTGGGGCTATTTCCATCGCGAAAGACCCAGAATTGAACATTTTTGAAGGCATTCATTCCTTCAAAAACTGTGGCTGATGCCGAGTCCATGTTTACGGTTGTTAGCTGCATATTCCAGCCCTGTGCCTCGTCACGTGTGTTTTAGGGTAGAATTGCGAGCGAAGAACTGGGTTTGAAACGAAGCCCTGGGGCTAGTTAATTGGATGTCAAAGAATCGAACACCAAAAGGTTGGCATCCCTCTGATGGGCCCTCCCCAAAAAAACAAGAATGAAAATGAAAATGAACAAGACAAATAATCAAAGCATAACCCCAGTGGGAGTTGAACCCACATTACCCCAACATCATTACTCCAAATGATTGTTCTGAGGAAATCTACCATTGATGTACAGAGGCTTGCTTGCAATTCAATGTACTTGGGTCTGAGGATGCTTGAGGTAAGAATTTCAGAGATTTACAGAGGCATGAGAAACAGGGTACAAGTTGATTGAGAAAAGTTGAACAAGAGCAAGGGTGTAGGTTGAATAATTACAAGACAAGTTGAAGTAAACCCTTACTGGAAAGTGAAACCGAGAACCAAAATCAAAAGAAAGGAATTCTCAATTCCAAACCTTGTGAACAGAGAAATACAAAAAAAAAAAAAGACACCCTGCAAAAACTTCAGCGTTTCACTATGCCTCAGGTGGGAATCAAACCCACGACTTCTCCACAACCGTGAGATTACAGTGGAGAGGATTTCAGTCACGCGCCTCTGGGACCCTGCGGGTCCCGGTCCAGGCGTCGCACTCCTTCAGATTTCGAAAAACAATACAGAGAGCTAAATGTTAGATGTCCCCCATTAATGACAGGATTGGACGCACCTGTGACGCTGTTGAGCCCTGCTCCAGCCTCGCACCCGGTGTCAAGTCGCCTAGTTTTTCGATCCGTCTGGGATCTACAGGCACTTTGATGACCGGCGGCACTTCTAAAATTGTTCGCAACTGATCATGCTGGTGAATCTGGTGTATTGCCAGCGCCGGATAATTTAAAAATGACATTGTGAAAAATGGGGCCTTGCAAACAAACATTGAGTCCTTACTTGGATTCCGGGAATTTCGCAATGGCGCATTTGTCTTCTTTGTGCAATCAACACTATTGATTCTCAAAGTGAATGACAAACATTGATTTGGTACATATAGGGATTTAGCGCAAAACAAGTGATTTCAGTGGTGGTTCAATATCCTGCTTATCAATGTTTCGTCAAAGGACTCATCAGGTGGCTAAATTATCACTGAAATCGCTTGTTTTGCGATTTCCTTATGTTTAATACTCTGTATATCATGTATCTGTTGTATCAAATGTATCAACTCTTCCCATAAAAGAGGCCAATATCATCTGAGTAACGGGACAATACTTTTGAGGAATCAGGAGTATCTCTGGCATGTGCTCGCTCCAAAACATGTAGGGGAAGATGTAGCCCAACTCAACCTACCAGTCGTATCACCGGTTTCTTCCGTTTCCTACAACGGTTCAAGTGGTTTCTGACGTTTCGGGTGTATCAAAGCGTGGATCAGTGGGGAAATCATGTTGGACATAATTGCATGTGACAACGGGATCGTCGTTCTGCTTGTTCCAGTTACGCAGCTATGTCGGGTATGATTTCAAGGAGATAATATCAGCCGGGTCTTGTGATCGTCGATCTCAGAACCATAGCAGATGCCAATGGGGATAGTAAACTCTAATCCTCATCGGTCTCATTTAATGGTCTCAAGGAAGTGGGGTATCATTTGGAAGCTATAGAACAGGGCTACAAGGTCCGACTATACCGATCCAAGGGATACTTCAGGAACGGAAGTTCCACAACTCAAGAAACACTTGGCAATTAGGGTTTCAAGTACCCATCATGTCGCCATGTACAAGGATATTACCAAGGACGGTCGGAACATACCTGGAATGATGACTCCGACCTCAACAACCAATGAGGCACTTTTTAGTCTTATAAATACTCCGGAAACACGGGAAATAGGACAGATAAACCGACTCTTTTACATATTTTCTTTATTGTCATAGTCATATTGTTGTTTGTATAAGTAGTCAGAGTAGAAGGGAGGTAGGCAGCGAAGTTTCTCCCGAGAAACCCTCACGGTATTCGAGTTTTGCAAGTCTTAGATACTTGTAAAGGGCGAGTCTCGTACAACTAGGAAGGAATAGGAGTTTGGAAGTTTGTGATTGAATTGAATCTGGTTTTGGGCTCGGAAACATTGTGTGATTGGACTCGGAAAGATACTGGGATTGAGAATTGGCATTGATTGGGACTGGAAGCTGGATATTGGGACTGGGATACTGGATTTGGATTGACTGAAAGGACTCTGGGACTCGAGACTTGACTGGGACTGGTTGGGAAACCGACAAAACACACACTATACACTTTAGGCAACAACCTTATCGACACAGATCTTTGGGATACGCAAGAAACTACAGAAACATCACTGTTTATTATGTTTCTTAAAACTTGGTTATCATATATTGCATCAAGGAAGTCCGAAACAGTTGTATCCTTTGGATCTTTGGTTTCGCTCGTATCATAACACAAACTTTCGTTGGACTTTTACTTTGAACAATCAACTTTCCCTTTCAACCTTTTAAAGGCTCTGAAACTAGGGACTGACACTCGTCGGCTACCTTGAAAGTGATCGAAGCAGCTATCATACATCGTTTCTGGTGTTGGTTTGGGATAGGCTCAGTCTATCTTGTCCAATATTGGTTTTGTTGTTTTGGTTTTAGTTGTTTCTTGTGTTTCCACACTAGGTTCCAAGCTCGCAAATCAACGTTCTCGCAACGTAGTGACCCCGTTCTTCAAAATCTCTGGCAACAAATTGCTTACTGGCTCGCTCGGCGCTTCGCGCCTCCCTTGCACACCCTGCAAAAACTTCAGTGTTTCACTATGCCTCGGGTGGGAATCAAACCCACGACTTCTCCACAACCGTGAGATTACAGCGGAGAGGATCTACCACTGATCTACAGAGGATCACATCTACAGAAGCTTGGTCCTCTTCAAGTCTTCGACTATTACTAATAGTCGGTCTGTAAGGGCAACCACGAAGGCCCGAGGTACTCAGGGACTGACGTGGGGGATCCAAAGGTTAATTGACGGTAGCTAAATATACAGAGAAGCATACCTGACGTGGGGGATCCAAAGAGAAGAAACTCTGAGGATTCCCACGTCAGCCGTGGGTATAAGTAAGCTACTAGCTAAGACCATGTGACCGGAGTGATCGGCAGATGTCCCGGGCTTGGTCACACGCAAGGTGCCATCGGGGATTCCCCCGGGTCACGTGCCGGTTTCCGGTACTGGTCCCGGTAGACCGGTGACCGGGAGAGTGACCGGAAAGATCGGAGGGGTCGGAAGGGCGTTGGATGGGGGTCGGGACGGGGGTTCCCCTGACACGGTCTGTACTAGTAGTACAGCAATATTAATTTGGGTTCTAAACAAAGCTCTGGGAACTAGTCGGGCTTAATGGGATGTCGAAGAATGAGCAGCAGAAGGGGGAGGCGCGCCGTGCGTGGTCGAGTAGGCGGACTTGGAAGTGAAAAAGTGGGACCAATCCGCTGCGATTGACGCTTTCACTTTCGTTTTCCACGTTTGCACAAGTCTATCTTCTCCCCGATCGTCATTGGCGACTCATTGCATCCACAGCTGTGTTTTTCGCTCTCTCAAACACCAGGGATCCAAATGTATGCCAGGTTGTAATTGCGATGGACTGTGCTCTTGCTCAAGTCGTCCAAGGCAACAGCCCGCCAACGGATTTGCAGTCTCACGAGATTCAGTGCATGATCGACGCCAGTCATGCAGAGCTTTTGGACCTTGATACAACCATTTTGAAAGTTTCGCTCGTTCTTTCTGAGCTGGAACAACAGATACTTTCGCCGACAAAATGTGGCTGCTTTTCGGCGTGCTTTATCCCCCATGCGTCGACTCGTCGACTTCCAGCTGAAATCCTCGCCGAAATCTTCATACTCTGTCGCAATAGCAGTCTGAAGTCAATAACCTATTTCATTGCCGATCCGCGAGAGGCGCCAGTTCTGCTGGGGCATATCTCTTCACACTGACAATCCATCTGCCATGGGGTCCCTCTTCTTTGGGACTGTGTTCATCTCACATCAGGTCCTAATATGCCAGAGCTCCCTTGTATCCAACAAATACTCGCGAGATCCCGCAACGTCCCCCTATCGCATAGGCTGTTAATGGAACTAACCCCGATGTCCTTGTCGTACGAACCGGTCGTCAGACTCTTGTTGGATCTCCCTGGCAGACTGAAGGATATTACATTAAATATTCATTCCTCGAGTCTCCTCCCCCCGCACAACATGCACCAAAATCAAATGTTCCCAATCCTCGTATCATTATCCATTGCCCCTGCGGATATGAGGCGTAAACGTGCGTTCGTGCCCAAATTGTATCAAAGGTGACGCCGGCGACGGATGGTATAAACTTTAAAACGGATCTTCGCAGAACATGCAGAACACATACAAGTGTGCAAGATGCCACTCACCTTATGCCCAGCCATCTTCTATCGCCGCAGACGCTCATGAAACCCCTCTGCGACACGCTGGACCCTAGCTGCGGGCCCACATGGTTAGGTGTTGCATTGTACATATGCGATCACACTGAACAGCATTACCTGACTCCAACAACATTATTATCTTACATGAAAATTTCACAAAACCATTGGTCCACGCAAATCTATACAAAGGTGCTATCAGACCAGCGATTTGAAGAGTTTCCCTTCTGCCTAAATGATTCGACCGCGGATTCCTTATGTGGAGAAGATATCAAGATCACCGGATTACTGCCCATGGATTTGGTTGGTGGAGAGCTACTCGAGAGCGTTGAATCGTTCAGCGAGCTGGAATGCGCACTGACTAGCAGCAATACAACCGCAGGATATGCTCCCTATGTATTGTATAAATCATGGAAATAATAGTAATAATAATTCAACATACCGCGAGCTGAACGTTGATTGGAGTATACAAAGATCCCAAGGTGTTACCGGTTGGTAATTTTTCAGGAATTACCGAGAAAAGCAGCGTTATAATCTGAACAGCTTCACTGTGAGTGTTTAGTTGGATTGACTGCGTGACGGAACCCACGGCAGAGAGAGAATATAACAGCCCAGATTCCACCACCAAAACCAATGTATGGTTTGTTTTTATCCCGTGGCTCTTCTCTGGGAATGCAACGCGGATTGTTTTCCAATGCCGCCTGCTGGAAGTGAGACACAATAGAATTCGAGTGAGGGAAAATGACACACCACAACATAGCTCCAACTACACCCATCGAGGAAAGATTGGAGATCAACGACGTTCCCAACGCGGTCATTTGCGTAATGTTGAGCAGGTCAGCCAGATGGGGGATTGATCCCTTATTCATATATACGATTCTGATTGCGATCGTAAGGAGGACGGCAACTGGATTCAATGATTCAGCAGTGGTTCAAAATAAGACCAACAATGCACCTACCGGTAGTGAGGGATAAGAAGAAAAATGGGATACACATGTATTTCCGGTGGCTTCGCAAGCATATCACCCAGGCCCTCCAGACGACTATCCCATCGCTAAGTACATACTGGAGGCAAAAAAATTAGAATGTGGTAGATGCAGAAAAATATTCAACTACGCACGTTGATGATTATTATTGCGTTGAACATGAGATGCCAATTCTCAATCGCATCCAAGCCCGGATCGACTCCGGTTATTGTAAGGTTCATGTACATTTGCATCCGGTCTACAACATAGACACAGGATAAAATCCAGTAGCCGGCGGAGAGCAGATACATGAAAGATGTGATAGTGAACATGATGAGGTTAATTTTGGTCTTGAATCCGCGTCGTCTAGTTCAGATATCAGAAAAGTTCAGCAATTGAACCGGCAGTGAAAAATCCCACAGCAGCATGCGGGTCGACAAAAAAATCAAAACACTATACATCCCTGTTGATGATTACGAGTCAGACAAAGGACGCATTAAGCAAAATCGCTTGCCGAAGACGAGGGTCTGGGCAAAACCAGAATATATTACAGACTGTCCAAAGCTCGTCATATAACTGAGAGGATCCACTGAGGTCATGGCTGGAACGACTTGAAGGGCAAGCACGGAAAGGGGCCCTCGCGGAGGGAAAAGAGGAAAAAGAGAGGAAAGTGGGAAAGGCCCTCGCGGAGGGAAAAGAAGAAAAAGTGGGAAAGTGGGAAAATGGGAAAATGGGAAGAACAGAGAGACCTGAGCGGAGCTACAACTGCGGTGCACTTATAACAATACTTGAGCGCTGCCAGCCTTCCTGATGAACTGATTCAGTTCTGCATTCAAGTGTGTCAGCGAAAGCGCCGACCGCCACTGGCAGTATCTCCTGGCGCTAAAACTTACCATCATCCCGGACATATGGATGTGCTACGGAAGAGTTGACCGCCGCGGGAGTTGCGACAGTACCTTGCTTTGTGGGGCATTATGCATGGGCAGATTTCTCGAACAGACTATGATAGAACACTGAACAGATTCAGATTTGAGCCATCCAAATCAAAGCTCACTTCGATGCTCTTATTGGCCTCGTATCGATGTGGCACGCTTGGCCAGTTTAAATAGATATGAGTCGGACTCACAAGTATAGGTACTTACTAGGACAAGAAGGGATGGGTGTACCGCCACCGCCGTTGATGAATGACGCTCGGAAGCTTTTGCTCATCGACGTTGCCACAAGTATCACATGGATTTTTGTAACATTGCTGTGTTGAAACTTATGGAACGAAGTCGGATCGTTGAACCCCCAAAAAATATGGACATATCTTCTACTTATATGCCTCTATGGCGGTCCCTTGGCCCTTTAAATAACTTGTGGATTGTGAGCGAAAAATAGTTCGGTTCCTATCTTTTGGAGCGACCATCCTAACCCGAATGGTCCTGCCGTCGTCCACCACCAAGTAGGCCCGCACGCGCGGACATCGTTCCCGTCGGTACTTCGGGCTAACGCAGCCATTTCCCGCCATCTCGGGCGTGTTCATTTTTCATGCTCCTGAAAAAAAAATGTGGAAGATGGAATAGAGGAACCAAAAAGGTTTGCCTTCGAGCGTCCTTGTGTAATCAAGAAGAAATCCGTTAATTTTTCAGGCAAAACCATGAAAAAAAAGGTGCTAATTGGCCACCATATGCCTCCGGTGGGAGCCCACATCTTGCCAAGAACAACAGCGACCGATCCACAGAGTCGAGGAGCCCAAGGTTAAATTGAGAGGATCCAGAAAGAGACTGAGTCTGGGGTAAAACGTATGCGTCGCGGAGTGGCCTAGATCCGGAGCGAGTAGTGAGAGCAGGGGAGCTTCAGCAAGGTCCGAGTCGGAGCGGCGCGAATACCGACAACGTTGGACAGTCAGTTGACGCGGTCTTGACCTTCGGCGGATGCTAGTGCCAAGGTGACTGGAGGAATGATAATCGAACGTTGGACGAGGGGGAACGTGACGGATGGCCCGAAATGGCAATAGCGCGACCCACGTGAAATGATTTCTTGGCTGGCTCCACCCCTTTCTCTCTCTTATCCACAACTATGCCCATGGACAGCCCAACTGCTGCAATGAACACTACTAGTACTGCTGCTGCTGCTGGCCGCCCGCCCCGCCTCCGCCGCCGCCGGATGTCCGCGCCGGCCCCGCGCGCCGCGCCGCCCCGTCTCCCGCCGTGTCGGCCGCTCCCTCTGTCGCTTGAGGCGCTGGATCTCTCGCCAGCCTCGCCCGCCCAGGCCCTGGCTTCCCTGCGTTTTCTGGTGCTCTCCTATCTCGCAGACCTCGAACGCCGGCTCTCCCTCTTCGAGTCGGCAGAGTGGGCCAGCACCGCCCTCGACATGCTGCACGCAATCCGCGCAGACGTCCGCTCCCACCTCCCGGATCTCCCCTCTCTCTCCCTCGACTTTGACTTTGAATTCGATTTCGACTTCGACTTGGGGGCGCGTCTGCCAGATGTCAAAGGCCTCGTCGCCAGCATAGATTT